TTTACTAACTTCAGCTAAAGCCCTAAACTTCAGGGGCACGTAGGCCTCCAGCTCTTTTGTCTTTGAACTAGGAAGTCCGCTGTCTCTCAAACCCCCATCCCGCCCTTCATTGTTTTCCTCCACCTCAGGCAGAATAGAATTTTCTAAGCTTTTGACTACTAGAACAAAAAGGCAGCCCTTCCCTGTTTAGTCCTTAGGCAGGCTGAGCTTTCCAAGCTGGCACTTCCTCATTTACACTCTTTGCTTTTCTAAATCTCTTTCCTTCTTGTTACTCTTCTCTCTGTCCTGAATATCTGGACCTAAACCATCTTGCATCATTGGTGGGGTTCACCTTGACCATTCTCCTGGTTATGATACCCACTTAATCACAAATAAAAAATGTTATATGTACCTAAAATGTACAAGTTGCCTTGTGCCCACAGCAGAAATGGGTTCGCTCCCCATGTGGAGGGTGGGCGAGAAGCTGCTTTTGAGTTTAACCCTCCGAAGTAGTAAAGTCAGGGCACACATGTGGTCTACATCGGAGCCGCTGGCCGTTCAGCTTGCTCCTGCTGTTGGAAAATCCTAGCAATGAGATGATTGAGACACAAGAATGTGAATCCCCTCTGCTACCGGCGGGGTACATAGCTGGGCGATTGTGGGTTCAGGATACGGAGCTGGGCTGCCTGGGGTTGAATCTCAGCTTGGCCATGTACTAGGTAAGTTACTTCATCTCTTTGTGCCTCCTTGTCCTCTGTAAAATGTGCCAAATGACTGTACTTTTTACAGGGTGGCTGTGAGGATTAAATGCATTAATCCAGAGAGTTTAGGCAGGTGCCTGGCACAGAGCAGGCATGCGGCGTTGGCCCGTGTTGACATTATGCCATCCTACCTTCTCCTACCTTCTCCAGAGAGGCCAGGTGAACTGTCAAGATCACACATCTTGTCCGTGGTGGGTCCTGGACCGTGAACTCTGATCCGCTGGGCAGCAGTTCCTAAAGTCCCTGGCCTTAAGACCCTTTGTAGTCTTAAAAAGTATCAACATCAAAGAGATTTTATATTCCTGAGCTATATCTCTTGGTATGTTTTATATTATTGATATAAATTGAAGCAAAAATTTTAAGTATCACTACTGTTAAGACAAATGTCACTTTTAATGAAACGTAATTATTTTCCAAAATGAAAACTTAGCAGAATGGAATTGCTTTGCAGGTTTGCAGATCTCTTTAATATTTGGCTCAGTGGACAACACTGGATTCTCATATCTGCTTCTGCGTTCTCTCAGTTGCAGTGTCTTATTTTAGTTGAAGAAAACTGAGCCTTGTCACTCCAGACAGGATTCTTAGGTGCGGAGAAGTTATGATCATAGCACCTTCTTTCTCTCTTTTTTAAAGATTTTATTTATTTATTTATTTGAGAGCGAGAATGAGAGAGAGAGAGAGAGCATGCGAGCGTGCACAAGTGGGACGAGGGGCAGAGGGAGAGGCAGAGGCTTAACCGACTGAGCCACCCAGGTGCCCCCATAGTACCTTCTTCATCACAGCCTTGCTCTGAGAATTGAATGAGAGATGTGAAAGAAGAATGGAAAGTCCTGGGAGAGCGTGTGGCAAAACTTAGGGCCTCACAAGCATTAGCCAATGGTATGTCGTGGGGACAGGCCTAAACAGCATAGAGAAAACGGGACTCAGGGAGAGGGGCCAGTAAGCAGTGCAGGCGGGCACTGCGGCCTGGGACGTGGAAACCAGCATTGTGCGCTCAGAGGGAGCAATGGTGAGGGCCTGGAAGGAAGAACGATCGTCCCCCACAGCAGATTGCCCTGATGCCGCTGCTTCTCTTCAGCAGCGATACGTAGAGTACAGTTGGCAATTCTTAGCAAGTGGGCACTGAATGGTAGGAAGGCAGGAGAAAAGATAAAACTACGCGCTGTTTGGATTAAGCATAAATCTGCTTGCAAGCAATTGCAAAAGCCAAAGTTTGGGGAAAACCTCTCAATACTTCTTGCAAAACCCTTGTATAATTCGCTTCTTTCTTCAGCCTTCTCATCCCTTCTAAAGAAAGGCGATCTTATTTCCTTCTAAGCCTGGTCACACGTTGCCACTCTGTTACCATCTCCAGTTTGGCAGAGGTGCAGGGATGGCCTTGTAGCAGGTCACTTGGGCCAGTACCGTGCTTTTCAGGGAGTAACCACTCTGAGCCATCCAAGAGGGTCAACAGAACTGGGTCTTAAATGTTCTCAAGGTTTGCCAGCCTCTCTGGGTTGGCCACTCTCGGGGATCAGAACAGTCAGAAGTTGTTTCTCCAGGAGCTAACCCATTTACCTTTATAAGTTCTATCCATTTTCTCTCCTGAATTTATCAGAAGAGATGAACATTCAGATAGTTGGGAGATGGACGGGAGTATCCCAGTTGACTCCTTTCTTCTTGGGCCTGCTGGAAAGACTGCGTTGGCAGACAGGCTGGACAGATCTGTAACTCAGGATGAAGATGGACCACCTCTTTAGAATAACCTTTATTGGTGGACTCCCTGTGTTTTTCCTTTCGGCAGCCTGTCACAGTCTCTGTCTTCTTTCGCCCTCCTTGAAGTGACTAAGCAGGTTGGGTGTCCTTTGTGTCCCCCTCTTTCTTCTGTACCATTAGCCAGAACGTGCTGAATCTTGCACATGGAGGCGGGGGGGGGATTTGAATGAAAGGTCGGCTGGTGGAAATTGTGTGACTTCACGGTCTGTGGGCATTGTTGAGGCCGCACCATTGAGCGTGTGTCTAATGCTCTGTCAGCACATTAAGCCCTAAGGGCATGTAGGAAGACCATCTCATCTGACCAGGGTGACCCATAAGTGATCCTGAGATGGTGTGTTTGGAGAAATGAACCTGTAAGAAAAGCGAAATGGGGATTCAAGTGGTGATATTCAGAAAACATCCCTGCGCCGCTTGGTTTTCGGCTTGAAATGAATTTAAATGACCACTATGACCAGGCTTTTGGACTTTTTCTTGTCCTAATAATAAGCACAAAATCTTAGCAGAGAGGCTAAACATTAAAGATGCTCTTCCCATAAACAAATCTCTTTCTCTGACATCTAAAAATGACCTGAATATTACCATATAAGGTTGTTTAAGCCATTTTTGGTTGAGCAGCTATATATCTGTGAATAGTTACATCACTGGAGCAAGAGGTGGTAATTACCAAATGAGCTCTCTGAGTTTTTATTTTTGTGTGTCTGGGAGGATGGGGTATTATAAAAAGGAGTATGTTCTTTTTTTCCTCTTCTTTTTCCCCTCCACCCACTTTGCTCTTATATACTTTTATAATCCCTTTTTACACCCTGAATTTTTTCTGTTGATTTATAATTTACATTTTGCTTATTTATATAAACTATGTGAGGTTGCTTACAATATTATAACATACGAGTCGGGAGAGTGAAGAGAAACACATTAGAGGGGGAGAGAGCATTGTAGCAGGAATCGGAGATGGGTGTTTACCAAAGCTGAGCCCTGAATTTGGATCTAAGCCTTCTAGAGGCAAGAACAGAAAGCACAACGCGTCAGGTTATGGAGTTCCTTTTAAAATCAGATGAGCACATGGATTTTTCTTAGTGTCTATCATATTTCTGTGCTGGGTATTTCCCATGTCTCTCGAGGATGAGGCTCGACATACCCCTGCTATCGCCACCTCCCCACCCCACAGTGGGGTGAGCTGTGAGCCCCCGGTGGGCTCTGCACAAAACCTATGGGAAGACCACAGACAGACCCAGGGCTTCCAGCTGGTGGGAGGAAGCTGAACCTTTTGTTTCCCTCCTAAAAGTAGATTTCATTTTTTTTTTTTTAAGATTTTTATTTATTTGCGAGAGAGAGAATGAGAGACAGAGAGCATGAGAGGGAGGAGGGTCAGAGGGAGAAGCAGACTCCCTGCTGAGCAGGGAGCCTGATGTGGGACTCGATCCCGGGACTCCAGGATCATGACCTGAGCTGAAGGCAGTCGCTTAACCAACTGAGCCACCCAGGCGCCCAAGATTTCATTTTATTTTTTTAAGATTTTATTTATTTATTTGAGAGAGAGCATGAGAGGCGGGAGGGTCAGAGGGAGAAGCAGACTCCTCGCTAAGCAGGGAGCCCGACGCAGGACTCGATCCCAGGACTCCAGAATCATGACCTGAGCCGAAGGCAGTCGCTTAACCGACTGAGCCACCCAGGCGCCCCTAAGAGTAGATTTTACTGGAGTTGGTCCGAAGGCGACAGAGAGCACTCTGGCCTGGCCTCTGAGTCAGGACTAGCCCAGGCTTTTATCCTGGAGACCTGAGCATGATCGGATAGACCTCTCATGGGAAGTGGGGTGACATCCAGGGGGTGCCCTCTGAGTGACTCCATCAGCCCAGTGCAGTCAGGACTAGGAACCTCTTTCCTGGGTTAGGGGCCGTGTCTGACCTGCCTCAAAATCCTGACAAGTGTGAATGGTGTTCGAGTCTCCCTCAGGAATGAGAAAATGCATTATGTTTCTCTGAATACCACCAGTGTCGATAGATACAGACTTTTGGAAGAGACTTGTCAGGGCAAAAGCAGTAAGTAGGAAGCTGTGCTGTCCACCACGCTAGCCACAAGCCACATGTGGCTACTGAGGGCTCGAAATGTGGCCAAGTCCACATCGAGATGTGCCTACACCACACTGCAAACATTGTGGGAAAAAGACTGAAGTAGCTCCATGGTGATACCAACATAAGATTTCTCAACACATAGTACTGATCATGTGTGGAAATGATAATATGTTGAATTTCTTGGGTTAAATAAAATGTTATTAAAATTAATTTTACTTGTTTCTTCCCACTTTTTAATGTGGCCACTTGAAAATTTAAAATCAAATATGTGGCTCACATGGTCTTTCTACTGGACAGCACTGGTCTAAATATCTAGAATGTTTATCTAAATATCTGATTACTCCAGATATTCCAAATACCAAAACATTTGTCTGAGGAATGAAATTCCACTGTGTCCTCTAACTCCCGTGTTCTCTCTCTGGTTCTCTCTCAACAGATACGGCTCTCCACGTAGCATGTCAAGGACTCCATTAATCACCAATTCCTTTATTCCCCACCCCCTCCACAACTTCCATTTTCTTTTACACTTGCTTACCCCAGCCATCTGCAGTACACCAGTTTCAGATATTTGAGCTGTGTAGAATCTCTGTGTGTACAGATGTGTGCTTGGACTTTTCTCTTCCTGAGAAATCTGAAGGGGCTGATTACAGAAGATCCGCTTACTCCTGGGAACGAGGCCCAGGGACTAGGCTGTTGGGTGGTCTCTGGGCGGCCCCTGGAGCCTCCTTCCTTGGTAGTGTGCCATCCCAGCAAACGCCCTCACGTGCCGTTCCCTGGGGGGGATCAACCAAGTGCTGTGGAGGCGGGGGGCTCATGCTCTGCTGCAGCTGTCTGGTTTCCTGTGAAATAAACACATTCCTTTATATTTTTAGGGAACAAAAAAAAAAAAGTGCTGCTACGAGGTTCAAAATTTTCATTCTGAACACTTTTCCGAAACAAATCACCCCAAAGAAGCATTTTGAATCCCCCCCGGTCACATCTTTGGATCTGTAAAAACACCTTTTAGGAGGGCACCTGTTAAGCAAAGCAAATTTCTTCAAGGCAGAAAAACAATCTGACGGTAGCGATGTAGAATTTGTTCATTCAAACACATCCATGTAAATGCAGAAAATCATAAAATTCACCTGAGCTGCTTGCTACTAAACCTGCAGCAACTAGTCTCAGCCAGCCCAGTTTGAACATCCTTCCTTCGGAAGTGTTGAAAATGCTGCAAAGTTGGATGATTGGAAATAGGGTGGCCCTCCTGGCCGCCTCCTCCCTGATCCTACTGGAGCTCGCACTGGGGATGGCCTCTTTCCGTAAGGGAACCATCTTAAGCCTGGAGGGGGTACGGCCAGTTGAAATCCAGGATCAATTCCAGCAGTTGGAAAAGGAAGCCTCGGGGTGGGGGCGGGGGAGTGACTGACGCATTTTTGTGCCTACGAATAAGTTGTTATTTTAACCCTTCATTGCTGAATGTTTGTTTGACTTCTCTCTCGGGCATCAGATAGATTCGTCTTCTTAGGCAGAATGTGAAGAAATCAGTATGGATGGATTTTTTTACATTTAACTATTGGTTTTTTCCAACATACGAATTTAAAGCTGAATCAACTCTTACTTCCAGTTGCGGATTTTAAAAGGATTGATTTCCAAGTAGGAAAGTCTTCAGGGAAGCTGACAAGGATTCAGTTAACGTGGTCTTTTGTGCTGCTACTGGTTTTGACAAATTTGAGGGTAAGTCGGTGGCAACCAGACCCGTCTCCATGAACACCCCCACCCGATCTGGGTGCCTGCCCGCGATGAGCGAGCTGTCACCACTGGAATGAAACGTAGGCCGGGGAGACATTGAGCTTTCTCTTCACTGTGTGAGTTGTAGTTCGAGGGCGTGTGTGTGTGTCTGAGGACTGTGAATTGACTTCCAAACTTCTCTTGTAAAAATTTCCCTAACACAGCAGAGCTGCTTTGACTTAATTTATTTGTTAAATGTTGAACTTTGTTTATATGTGTTTTGTTTTGGGGGGGGGGCAGTAAAGAGAAAGAAGAAGACCAATTCTAGTGAAATATTTATTTCACAAACATGACGATTTTGCATTCATTTACACTTCAAAAATTCTTTTGATTTTCTTATATTGCCAGTACTTGCCCAATAGAGCTGCTCCATGACTGTTTGCAGTCTGATAGAAGGGCCCTTGTAGGGCAGGTTTTGCAAACTTGATCAGGTAATAACATATGCCATAGATTATAATCTTTTGCTGTGAATATGTTTGGCTCTGATTTTAGAAGCTAAAACATTGGTCTTGGAGAGGATTGCCAATTAATAGTTGTCATACCACTATTGTCTATTATGCAACTGTATTTATGTGTGGAAATTGAACAAAGGTCAATAATTCTTTTTTGGGGCTCTCTTGTTAATAGATTATTTTAAATTCTCCCCAAAGTAACTTTTCCCTGGGTACCCCTTTTCTATTTCTAAAGAATTGCTTGGCCCTTTCATGTTTCAAAAAGAGCCACATGTTTCACTTGTAGTCCCGTATTTTTTGATCTCCACAAAGGACTCACAAAATTCACACGACTTTTATTCACAGAGAAAGTTGGCTTTGATGTCTCTTAAAGATAATTCTGCTACTTGCTGATCAGCCAGTCAGTTCACCTAGCTTCAATCTTTATAGGACCTCAAAATTAACTTTCCTACACTGTGACTAAAAGATGGGCAGATTATTGGAATGGATTCTACAGCATATTCAAGTGGATCCCTAAATATTACTTTATATGATAAACTAAGATCAGGACCATATCCTCTGTAGGCCACTTTTTAAAAAGCCACATTTATGCAACTTTCATTTTTTTAAAAAATTATTACTCCTTTACATTTGTACTCTAAATATAAAAACCACACTTCTGAATGGCTGAGCCTGTGATTATATTTTTGTTTGTATGCTACTTTTTGTGAGAGAGAGAGAGAGAGAACGTGTGTTTCTCCTTTGTGAATAATTTTCTATCTCATGCTTCTTCTTGAAAGTTTACTTTTTGATGCTAATAAGGGAATAGCCAGATGGTTTATACAAATAATCTCTACCTGCAGGATGGTGGATTGTTAAATTAGAGAAATGCTGTTTGGGATATCAAGATTTATGGTTGGATTCAACTTAACCAATTACATTTTTATAATGGAGTATATTCCTTCATTGACTGTATTATCAATTCATAAAGTGCTTTTAAAACTTTAAAAGATTTATGGTTGGAGACTAAAATATATTAATGCCAAATGTGTTTTGGTCAATTACTAGAGAATTCTGTACAAATGCATCATCTCTTCAAATGCTGTACAGTTTGCTTGTTTGAATGGCAGGTAGTAGGGAGAATAAATGTGGAGTAAGACTTAAAGGAAATAGTATCATGTGATTACAAAAATTAGAGTTCATAGAAATATTGGTGTAAACGAAGAAATAAAAATATTTGTCTAGAATGTAGCATCTAGTGACTTTTTGATGCCCTAACTTCACATGAAGGAGTGATAGTTCTGTCCAAGGCCAGACTGAGCCATCACCAAGACTCATGGGGAATTATCGGTTCTCTTTTCCTAGAGGAATAACTGGAAGCAAATAAAAGTCTTTAACAGTCCCCTTTTTGAAGTGTTTTTGTTCTGTTTTGTTGTTTTTAGCAGGGCAGAAGACATTTAGAGTCTGGCTACATGACCTATTGGGGAAGTTTTTCACTGGGAGGGGGTAGGGGGAAGGTTTCACTTCATTGTCTCACCCCTAATATTTTGAGCGAGCTAAAGGAACCATTGTAGTTTAAAATGGTTTCATTTAACACTAACAATTTAGCCTTTCTAAAAGTATTGAAAAAAAGGGCTAGGTAACTGCCGAAGGAAGCCTTGCTCCATGAAGTCTGCTTACACATTTACATCTTGTGCACCAGTTTTAAAGACTTTTCATCGTGTGCAGATATAAGGGGAATAGGGCATTCTGTAGGATTATACATGTCTAGTTTGTAAAGTATGTAATGTGTACTGCAGATGTGTGTTCTGGGGCTTTATGTATCTGTACAGTAGCTCTCATTAAAAAAAAAAATTTGTGGACAAACTTGTTTTGGTGGTTTGAGGGGGAAAATGGCTGTTTATACCAAGTAATGATGCTGTAATATATAGTACATGTAACGAAAGATCTGGAAGTAACCCTTCCCTGGCCCGTGGGAAATTTTGGTTATCCTCTAGGTTCTAAAATGAAGATGTATGGATACTCTGGCAGACTGCATGTTGTATAATTTGAAAAATACTAAAAGTGGAAAATAAAATTGAGTTAAACTTTGTCTGGTCTGTTTTTTCTTGAGTTATCCTAAAGGCATTCCCATTGAAGGCCTCAATGCCCGAGTCGGGATGAACCGTTGTCTGGCCTCAGAAGAAGAGTTCTTTTCAGCGGACAGCCACTCAGACTCAAAGCATGAGTAAAGTCAGCCTTGACCTTTCTGCCCCCTCCTTGGCTCGAAGATCTGTTTTTATTTCTTAGTGAGGAACCCAGAAAACCTGACATTTGTTCCTTCAGCACTGAAATGATAGCAACTGATATAAATAAGCGCCTTAAACACTTTCTTAAGGTAAGATTGAGTTAAAGGTCAGTAGACCAGGGTAATAGCTGAATTTCTTCTTGCCCGAGTAAAGCACTTATTCCAACAACATGTTAGCGCAGCGGTATTCTTCAGCTAATGCATCGGAGCCCTGCACACGTTGAATGTTGAAAGATTATTGGCATCTTTTGAGAAGGTTGGCATGCTTGTGTTCCTGTTTAACCTGAGAGTATTAATGTATAGGTCTGGGGTGTTAGGAGAGGACGTTGGAGTGTGAAGCCTTTGGAGAATAACGAAAGGCAGGCTGCAGGACAATCAGATACGCTTTCAGCAAGGAGACTTCTGTAGCTCAGGGCACTGGAATCCTGTGGCCACACAGGCATTGTGAATGTGAAACACCCTCATTCTTGGTTTGCTTAATGTTGCATGAGAGCCAGACAGTAAATTGCTTTAATCAATTAAAAACAGGAAGGATGGGTGCCAAATGAACGTTTGGTAAGTGGGATTGAGGGCACTGCAAATGATGTGCTTTTATGATGTCTTACCCATCTTGCTTGAAATTGTTATTCTCCAAAGAACTCGGAAGAGGCCGTTTCCAGATACCAGATTGTTAAAGGTGACTTATGTAGTAAAACTTCAAATGTGGATGATATTTAGGCGGAAGCCTGTGTATTTAAGATGGGAAAGCAGTCCTCTGAACTCGATGACAGAGCAAATTTCAGCATCCGTGGGCAATGACCCCACAGGTCCCAGAATACAGGGGCTCTGCAGTGCAGGAGCATCGCACGGACACCCACTGTTCCCTGGGTTCCTGCAAGTCTTTCTCGACGTTTCCTGTTCCATCGAGCCCTGAATGGTGCTCGGGCTATGCCTGGGAAGTACAGAGCCCGTGAGTATCTGTGGGAGAATGTGGAGCTGAAGCCATAGCCTGCAAAGGTAATTACTGATGACGTGTGTATTGGCGGGTTTAATTGTGGCATTTGTGACAGGTTACATCTTGTGATTTGTCTTCTGTACATGATAAATGGAACAGAAGTAGGAGGCATCTCTCAGGTGACACATCAAATGAAAATGTGGGCTCACTTGACAAAAGGCATCCTGAGCCATGGAGTTTTTACTCTCCCTTTGGCGTTTGCTGGTTCCTCATCCAATCTGCAAAGAACACAACAATTTCTGTGTGGTTAGTTGGGCTTAGAATAGTCAGACTTGCAGAGAACCCCTGTGGATCTTTCCACTTTCTGCGCTGTGGATGGTGAAGGCTGGGATTCATCTGCTTTGCTTCCCCAGCGCCAATGGCTCCGTTTGGGAGCCCCTTCCGGTCTGGCACCCTCCAACCCTCACCCCTCCCCGTGACCAGACTGCAAGTAATTCTCATAGGCCTGCTCTTCAAAAAATGTACCGGAAGTCCTATTTTACTCCTTCAGAATGTATATATCAAACTAGAGAAATTGGCAAACTTGTTCCGGATGCCATGTAACAGCACCAGAACCTCAGAATGCTCAGAAAGCTGCAGGAAGGAGCCAGTGAATGCCAGAGACTGTTCTGGCTGTGTGCCAGATACTGTTTTAAGTGCTTTACATGTATAAATCCATCTAATCTGCTTAATAACCCCACGAGGTAGGCACCATTATCTCAACTTTAGTGGGGAGGAAACAGGCAGAGGTTCGGTCACTTGCCCAAGGCCTCACAGTTGGGAGGAGGAGTCAGGATTGAAACTTGGGCAGTCTGGTCCCGAGGTCTGTGCTCTGGGCAGCTGGTAACACTGCCTCTCAGAACAGTGGTGTGTGTGTGTGTGTGTGTGTGTGTGTACCCACAACCAGCCTCAAAAAGCCATTTATACCAAGTTTTATACCTTTGCCACTTTTCTGTTTTCTCCTGTCAGAGGAATCTGAGAATTCCTTGTTAGTTGCATTATGTTAGGCCGTCCAGTGCATCTGGGCAGGAATCATCACAACAGTACTGAAGGAGGATGCCCCTTCTAAAGGCAGTCTGCGCGCCCCAGCGGTTGTCAGGATCCTTCTTCCATGCCACAGACACTTAGAAGGCTGCAGTCACTCCTGTCAGTTCTCTACTGTTTGCTGTAAGAATTTAGCTTAACTCATGTTGACTTTTTTTCTTCTCTTTAGGACGTTAATGATCTCTGGTTGCTTTTTAAAATATATAACTTCTGTCCTCTGCTGTTTAAGGTCCCGATAAAGCAGGGTTCTCTTGCCCCATCTGGACCACCTCTAATGGGAAGTCTGAGGGGCACTGGGTGGGTCCCCCTTCCCCAGGTCTCTGTGAGGCCTTGGAGGAGGCTGCTCAGGGAGCCCCGCTGAGAGGAGCCACCCCTACCTCACCTCCAGCCTTGTCAGGATGATTAATAGAGTCTCCTTTTAATGCTTTAGGTTTAGAAAAAGTACACATGCCAACCATACCACACATGCATCTGCAAGTCCAGCTACAGAAAGGGGCCGAAACAGTAAAGGGGGTTCCCTTGTGAGCAACTCCCCCTCACTCCGCTTTACCACAGACTCCATTTACCTGCGCCTCTCCCGTCCGAGGGTGCTTCTGATGGGCTAGTGCAGAGTTGGGGAGGAAGGCTGGGGGCGGATTCGTCTGGTCACGGGTTGCTGCCTCCTTCAGGCAGGCTGCTTGCCTGCAGACCCCATCACCAGCCTGGCCTCTTCTCTGCCCTGCAGCGCCCGCTTCTGGGGCATGCATGCAAAAGCGAAATATCCCTGGAGCGCTGACTCCGCAATGGCGCTGCTGAGTAATCCCAAAATGGAAATAACGAGGGACTTGGGACCTGGCTCCCACTCTACTTCGCACTGACCAACTGTGGGATTGTGGTGACGTTGTTGAGCCGTGCAGCATCTCAGTGGCCTCATCTCCATACCTGAATTACGGAGATGCTTAGCCCACCACTCTCTACTCTTCACATTTGGCTGGAGGATCAGACGAGAAATTGTGGGCAAGCATTCTATGAAAGTGCTACTTAAATAGAAGAGAATGCTGTGTCAAAAGACAAAATTCAACTGAGTAAATTTTGACGATCTTACTGGCTTTATTCAATGACTCAGGAATTGGGCAGCCTGAATCTAGCAGATAGAAGGGAGCTCCGAGGAGGGGTACTCTTGACCTACGGGCAAGGAGGGAGTGGGAACATAGAGGCAAAAAGCACAGTGGTTCCGGCAAGGTCACTTTCCTTCAGGGGATGGCAGGGGTCTGTCAGGCAGATAACCTGCCTAGTGCTGACTAGGTGATTCCTAGTTGACTGCTTCAGGATTCCATTTCTGGGAGAGCGGAAACGGTAATGAAGTGTCGGTTTGCGCTTAGGCTAAGGGACTCCTTTTGGGGCCTGTTGTATTCTTCTTAATAGTTATTATCAAAAACTTCCTAGGACAAGGTATTTTCTCCTTGGACTGCAGCGATGCCTTTACCCATCACCCCTGCTACTTAGCGAAGGAGACACTGGGAATCATCTGATTCTACCCAGTGAGACTGTTCAGGGTTTCCCTTTCCCACACCTCCCCCCCTCCCCCGGTCCTTTTGGGGAAAAGCTGCTCTCAGGCTGTTGCACAGGGAGAGAATATTCCCTACGCTCCCAATAACTGCAGTGAGGGGGGTTTGGGGCCGGTGTCCATCTTTGTGCCTGGGGGCTGCTCACGCCCAGGGCTCCTGTGCATGCTCTTCACTCAAGGTCCTGACGCTGCCTCATGAATCAAGTCCACTCGCTGTCTCCGGAATCACAGCTCCTTCTGAGAGTCTACAGCCCAGCAGCATCTTTATCGGAGCTTAACAAGCTCCCCAAAGTGAGATGGGAGGCACTCAAGGAGTCACTTAGCAGAGCCGGAACACAAAAGCACCCTCAGCTTCCGCCAGCGTCTGGGAGCAAGCGGCCTGCTGCCTCTGCTAGGAAGAGCCTGGCATCTGAAAGCTCTGTTCCTGGCCCCACACGCGAGCCAGGTACTCGCTGTGCCACGCATGCTGGTCTGTCCTCGGCATGTGGGCCTGCTGCTCCCAAGCACAGGACTCAGGATCATGACCTCTGCTTTCTCCTTGTCTCCTTTCAGGCCGTAAACCTAAAAGAAAACTGAAATCCAAAGAGGTGGAGTCACCCGTCCAAGGTCACATGGTTAGTTTTGGCTCTAGAGCCCACATTCCTTCTCTTACAGTCCTGTTTGCCCATCTCAGTTTTCTCATTCCTGATTTCCCCTATGACTTGTAAGTCAATCGTGCCTTTTATAGTGGTTTTCACTTTACTGTATTAAGCCAATAAACTGGGGAGTCCTTGGAAGAAACAAAGTGCACATCACCAGTACTTAGAGTAGAAAGGAAGGCTACGAGGGACATCAGGGCTCACCTGTTTGCACCCGGCAAGGTTAATTGACTCCCCTCACCTGATCCACGGAGAGCGGGAGCCCGGTGCACCTGCTGTACTTGGACACCTGCCAGGCCTGGGGCTAGTCACGGGAACTGCGATGGCAGCGGGTGCCTCTCTGCTGTCACATCAGAGGATGTCTGACGCAGTCCTAGGTCGCATGTGTGCCGTATGCCCGGAACCTGGCGATCAGCAGTGGACTCCGGCAGTTTATAGACCAGGGTTCCGGTGGTTCCCACTCTTGTCTGTATTAACCACGTGCCTGCCGCTCTATGCACAGCTCGTGATAATAGCTAGTTCTTCAGGCGAGTTCTGGGATCTCTTCACAAGGTATGGGTGAGGGTGGCACCGTTATTCTCCCCATATGCGGATGAAGAAACTGAGGTGTGGAGAGGTTTAAGTGGCCAACATCACAGAGCTAGGAAGAGGTGTTGCTGGCTCTAGAGCGCACATTCTTAACCATGAGGCTTAGG